CGCATTTCTGCACAATTCTTTCGCGGGCCGGATGTGACCCGTGGGCCGTAGTTTGGAGACCCTTGATCTAGACAATNCGCTTTCAATGGGCCGGATAAAATGAGAAATGTATATGAGGTATATGTATATAGGTATATGAGTTTTATTGAAAGCACAGGATTTCATAAACAAAATACAAAGTACGTNTCATTTATTCACCTTCCATAAATCCTGCTGAGAGTATATTCTCATGCGGATGTGGCGATCGTCCTTGTTACAGTCACAACTAAGAATTACAGTTGTCATCCAATAGCATTCACGTTTGTAATAAAATACTGATAAACATATACAACATACTAAATAAGTTAATTTTAATAGTAAAAGTAATGGCAAACCTTATACANACGAACTGCTCGCGCTACCTACATTGCCACGAAGCGAAACTGCCGATCGAGGATGAACAAGTACGAAGAAATACTGCACAGTATACAGTCCAGAATTAGTAAAATTGTGAATAATATTAATATTAACATAATATGGAATATCAATATATTTTAAACACAATCTTAATTAATGAATTTTAAATCTATGAACAAGTATTTTTTTACCAGTACTCATTGGAAAATTAGTTCAATTGGCATATTTCTGCACAATTCTTTTGCGGGCCGGATGTGACCCATGGGCCGTAGTTTGGAGACCCTTGATCTAGACAATCGGCTCAAAGATGGCGGCAAGGTTCTCAGCCTTACTCACTGGCCGCACTTTACTCCCCAGGAAAATTATTTAATTATTTCCTGGTACTCATTTCTGTTAGAGGTTGAGTCGACCCCAGGGCCACAGTGCGGCTGGAAGGATTAGGTCAACTGAAAAATTCAATGACCTCATCGGGACTTGAACCTGTGACCTTCTGGCTTGTAGCATAGTGCCTCAACCAACTACGCTACCGCGTGCCCCCTATACAACATACTAAATAAGTTAATTTTAATAGTAAAAGTAATGGCAAACCTTATACAATTTGTACAGTTTTATACAAGTCTATTAATTAAAAAATTCAATAATTGAAACACAATGTCATTAATGAGCACTGTATAACATACACATAAATTAATAGTATAGTAAATTTAAATAAAGACTAGTATACAGTGATATAAAAATTGTGTATATCTGAAATAAGTAACTAAAAACTAGAACACAGGCTGACAATTTTGTCTTCTTAAAATTGTAAAGTAAGACAGATTCTTGAATTTTAAAAAGATTTATAACTAAAATATTCCTGTAATGAATAAAACGAATGTAACTATAAAAATTATTTTGACTGTACCTCAGAACTCTTAGTGTCACTCAATATATCCTTAACATGTTGTGGTAGATTATCATAGACCTTTGTTCCTAAACAATAAACTCCCTTTTGGTATTTACTCAAATTTACAAGAGGTTGATGGAGATTATTTTACTGTCTGGTATTTTTTCTATGAATCTCTAAATTTACTATGAATTTGTTTCTGTTTTTTATCACAAAGAGCATAAGAGATAGTATGTACTGACATGCCAGAGGCAAGATTTTTAATTTTCGAAATAAGTTTCTGCACGAATCTCTCCTTCTGCATCCCATCATAATTCAAATTATATTCTTTTGCATTCTAAATATGTTTATACTTTGGGGTGAGTTACCCCAAAAGGGTAAACCATAATTTATAATAGAATTAAAATAAGAGTGATAAACCATTTTTAAAGTATTTATGGACGTGTATGGTTTAAGCGATCTTATTATGTAGCAGACTGCACTTAGTTTTGAACTAATATAGTCAATGTGGTACTGCCAGCTCATTACATCATCAATGAATATTCTAAGAATCTTAATATTGGATATAGATGTAATTCGTTTTTTATCATATATAACTTTTATTTCAGATTTAGGATTATTATTTCTAGCTGTAAGTTGAATGTAGTGGGTTTTGTTAAAATTTATAGAAAGTTGGTTTACTTTGAACCATTCATCTATACTGTGAAAAGCATTGTTATATTTACACAGAGATCATTATAGTTTGAACTTTTAACTAACAAACTAGTATAGTCTGCAAATAATATAGGTACAGTTTTATCATTATAGTTTTGGGTAAATCGTTTATATAAATGAGAAATATCGGGCCCAGAATTGAACCCTGTGGGACACCATGTTTAATTCTGCCCCATGTCAAAAATTAATTGAGATCAAGATTTATATTTGTAATTAAAACCCTTTGATATCTATTTCTGAAATATGATTCAAGCCATAGTTTAGCTTTACCTTTTATCCCACAGAACTCCAATTTCGACAAGAGAACCTCATGATTAACACAGTCGAAGGCCTCTTTGAGGTCACAAAAAATGTCTATTAAGTTTTTGCTGTTTAAGGTCTTGTAGACTTCATTCACTAACTTGTATATAGCCTCATCTGTTGAAGATTTTGTTCTAAAACCAAACTGTTCTTCTACTAAAATGTTATTGTTATTTAAGTGCTCAATCAGTTGAATGCTCATAGCTTTTTCTAATACCTTAGAGAACGAAGTTAAGAGTGATATAGGCCAATAATTGGAAATATCTGATTTCTCACATTTTTTAAACAGCGGGAAAATTCCTTGTGATAATGAATTGTTGCATATGTAATACACACGCAACACCGTGATCTTAAGGTCTGCCGAAAACATATACAAAATGTACTACATATTTATGTAATGAGTGGCTACTGGCTTTACTCACCCCATGAGTCCCTGGTCCCAGCCTTTGATAACCTGACCAGATCCAAGGGTGAATGTCAGTGGTTCCCCTCTGTTATAACTGCTGTCGAATTCGGTGCCATCTTCCAGAGTGCCCTATTAGTTAACATTCACATTTTTTTTTTGGATCACATTGCTCTGCTTTCCTTGCGAATGTAAATATTAACTATGCCATGCAATTCTACAAGTAACAAACTGGTTTTTCATTGCACACAAATCGTAACTTACCGCATTTGAAACCGCATAGAATACAGATTTCACCTTACCTTGTAATGCATATGAAGAAAGTCACCTTTTTTCGATTTCACTTGACAGTTATCGACTCTCTTTTTAACACCAATTTGAAGTTTTTTCTTTGTATTGGCACTTTTATCATCATCACCCAAAGTCAAATCAAAATTACTTAAAACAACCAAAAACAGGCACGCAATAAAACCCAGCAACTTACAAGCGTGCATATTGACGTTGCTTTATGGCCTTTATGGCGTGTGAGCTTCGATTTTAACCACTTGTAACCACAGCACAATATCATTCCACTCTTTCATCTTGATTTTCAGAATGTACTTCTCTCCAGTTGACAAGCGGGCTGCACTAGCGCATGCGTAAAGTGGAAAGCACGTGGTGACCGGTTTAGTGTGTAAACAAAGTGGTGTTAAGGTCTTCGTGAGCACTTCTCGTAAAATACTGTCGTTAGTCTGAGTACCTTTGATTCTTCGACATCGCGAGTCTACAATGAGTTTTGACAAATTTAAGGACACCATAGACCAAGGAGATACTGTTATTCTTTATCTGAGTGTTAATAGCATGCATGCTATTCAAGTTCAACCTAAAATAAAAAACAGGAAAGATGAATGGGTTGACAATGTTTTCCAGACGACTTACGGTGCCCTGAAGGTTCAGTCCCTTGTGGGAAAGAAGTTTGGTACTAAAGTGGCTTTGTCAAGAGGGTGGGCGTATGTCTTACATCCCACACCTGAACTATGGACTCTGACTTTACCACATCGAACACAAATCATATATACTCCAGACATTAGCATGATCATTTTTCAATTAGAAATAAAACCTGGAAGTGTGGTTGTTGAATCTGGTGTGTAATATAATTATTTTATATAAATGAGTGTGGATGGATGATGGGTTATGTTGATATTTGGTTGAAGAACACAGGTTACAAGTTTACTTCTGGATTTCAAAATGGCCACTGTATCTAATCATTCCTGACAGTTGTGATAACATTTGGATCAGTGACGATAGTATATACGCAATTTATTTTATTAATCTGTTTCCTAGTTATGTTTAGTATGTGTTAATGATGGTTGGATTTGTAGACAATAAGGACATGTTAGGAAATTAAGCTCTGTATGAATACAAATATACATTTTGATATTCTCCTCCTCCTCCTCCTCATCATCATCATCACCACCACCACCACCAACACGACATGCTACTTAATATGACAAAGATAATTTTTATATCATGAAGGCAACATTTCTGTGTACGTAATTCATATTTTTGCATCAGATTGGTTTATAAAATGATATGGTGTACTATTGTCTTTGGACCCATTCTTGAAATATGTTATGGCCACTCAGTTTCATTTTCCTGAATTATATTTGCAGTGCTAAACAATTTTAAATTCATTATGGGTTAGTCACTAAACATATACAGTGAGATTTTTTAGAGCATCTGCTAATGCATGGATTCTTTCTTGCCAGGTCAAGCTGACCTGTTGTGGATAAGTTTTGCTTGACAAAAGTTCTGTCTAGAAAACTCACTGTCATGCTGCTTGTCTTTAAATATTTCATCCCTCCATTTTTAATTTTACTTAAAATGCAGTGAATTATTTTTTATGGTGTGTGTCAGTATCAGTGAAACTAACAATTGATGCATACCTTTATTATATTATTATATAATCAAATGATTTGTTTACTTTTTATAATATTTCATAAGTGGATATTGCTTTACTTCCAGTTCAAAGTATATTTCTTCTTTTGGTTCCTATTTTCAGATTCATCACAGCTGTAAATATTTGTTTAGAAATGCTACAGGCAATATGAGTATGTGGCAGAACTCAATAATTGAATTAAGTAGATTGAATAAGGCCATATATATTCTGACTAATGTATGTTATTCTTACAACCATTATTTCATAATTTGCTTAATGAATTAGCTAACTGGTTGAATATTTAACAATAATATGAGTACTGAAGTGGAGTAGTTGACGAAATGAGAAATGATAGGGAAATCTAAGTACTCAGAGTAAATCTTCCCAAAACCACCTTGCCCACCAAAAATGGCACATGACCTGACCTGGGTCTGAGCCAAGGCTGTGACTGCCTGAACTAGTTACGGTCCAACTTCATGAGGATGTACACCAGTTCTGCTATACTGTTTCTCTTGTATATTAAAAACCAACCACCTAACATAAACAGAGTTCCTGTGTGTTATCTCTGATGATAATACTGATGTCATAGTTGCAGAACCTTATAAAAGTCATCCTATAGGAATATCAAATCATATCTTTGCTACCATAGCCATTAATATTACTGAAGTTTATTGTAGTGACATATTCCTCTTGTAAAAGAAAGCTGTCAGTATCATGGCAAGAGCTCAGACAAGAGAATCATGTAAATACTTATTTGCCAGTGAGTGCTTATTAATTATAATAATATTTATGATTGACAGAAATGTTTCAAATATACTCGGAGGTCCATAAGATTAAAATATAAGACAGAAACATGATCTCCACAGACATAGCATTCATCTTGATCTTCAGAGATTAATTGCAGACATAATCTGTCAAAACTGAGAGTCTTTTATGCAGATATAAATACTTACAGCACTCCCTCCTTAAAAACAAAAAGTTAATCCAAGAATTATTTCTGATTCCAACTTTCTGCTTTTTTGATTAAATCATAAATCCTTGTGTAGTTCTGTATGTGTACTTTTGTGCATTGCTCTGTGAGTTGTTTACTGCTGTATTGCTACTAGCAGTATGTTGTTATGTGAAGCAATTTAGTAGTGTCTGAACAAGTATATGAACATGTACAGTGTGTATATAAATAATTATATATTTATGTATGACCATACCCTAAGGAGTATTACGATGTATTGTAGCGTAGGATATGTGTTGTCAGGCATATTGTATTTTAGGCATTTTATAATCGGCATAAATTCATCTGCAGGTTCACTGACCGGTATCACTGCGACGTCGTCTACAGGGAGCTCTTCTTGTTGTTCCGCCTCAGGTTTCTTGTCCACTGGGTCCGGCTTTTCTTCTAATAGATGTGCCTCCAACTCTTGGCAGGCTATTGTCTTTGTTTCTGTTCGAGTGGCTTCCATCCTTTCTTGGATAGCTCTTGTTTCTTCTCTGGTGGCTTCCGTTTCTGCGACCAGCTCTTCTCGCATGGCGGCCATCTTTCCTCGCCAGGCTTTCCACCTGTTGTCAGCCCTTTTCTCGGCAGCTTCTCTCTGGGCCCNCGCGACAAATAACTTCACGCCGTATTTTATATAGCGAATTTTATTTCACATTCGCACTTACAATCACCCAAATTACAGGTTTACGATTACTGCTATCTGCAGTATCACAAATAGTACACTCCAAATGCCACAAGACAACTGACTAGTTGCTGGCTAACTCGGAACTAACTCGGAGGTAGCTCGAGGACTCACTCTGTTTAAGCTCATAAAAATTCTGACACCAAACTGTCACGTGTTTTGAGTTCGAATCTCATTGGTCACGTGTGTAAGTCCAAATCCCACTTCTGACACCAGTTTAACGTGTTTCGTTACTGAAGACGCCGTAGAGATCATTAATTGGTTTATTGAACAATCTACAAATAACGGCTACAATTAATTATCACACAGTTGAGGGGTTTCACACTTTATAACCCTATGCGCAAATCAGCTCACTCTGTGTTCAGTAGTCTACACGTTTACAGTAGGGGAGCTATGTATCACTGTGTCACACGCTCCCAATTACACAATCACACACACGTCTGGATCTTCTTCCCGCGACGGCTGCTATACTCCAACTGTAGTCGGCTGACTGGAGAACTGTTGATAACACACTCAGCGACTGTCACAGTACAACTCTGCGGTAGCCACATTAGAACTCGCTCATAGTTGCTGTGCAGTTCCCTTATATAGCAGCAGTGGTGCCTGTTGAGTGCCACGTCACAGTAGGAGGTTGATTACGGGTACGTAGCGTTGCGCGTTACGTCACCGCGGAGGGGTGGGAGGGTGCACTACGTTACCGCCCTGCGCCTGTGGCCTGAGTTGCCATGTTGCTGCTGGGTAGGGAGGGGTTCTCCGTTGCGCAACATGTTACACTGTGTACTGTACACTGATATTATTTCACACACTGAACATCAAGATTCATGGAATGCATATATCTGTCCTCCGCCCAACTATCCTTTATGCCTCCATCCATCTGCAGGCAGTGTATAATGGTGAATGAGAGCCAATAGGATGAATTATGAGTTGAGAGAGATTCCAATGGAAGGAGCCTAAGTTACTTTGAGTACTATTTTATAGTTTATTTTCTAGGAATTGGAAGAAACAGTAAATGTCTGTACAGGTATTCCTGTATATGTGGTCGTGTGAAATTATAAACATGTACAACATAAAATAAATTGAGAACCACCAACTTTTACCACTGAACCACAGGTTGCTCTGTTGGTTAATGTGGCATACTCGTACTGTTGATTTGTAATTTTCATATCATAATTAAAGCTGCATAATGTCACAGCTTAAAAAATCTGAAAGGGTTGTGCCATAGTCAGGCGGTTAGTCACCGTTTTCCACTGCAGTGTCCTGGGTTTAATTCCAGGTCTGGTCATGTGGGATCTATGGTGAACAAGATGGCATTAGGGTAGTATTTCTGCCAGTACTTCGGTTTTCCCTGCAAATTCACATTCAACCAAGTGCTCCACATTCATTAATCATCCTATCATATGACACTGTATTGTCTTAATCTTGACAGCATCATCAATTACCAACTTAAAAAGAAGAAATTTGAGAATCTGAAGAACATTGATACGACATTCTTCTGTACAGGTACTGGAAGTGGCTCCTTGTCACATGCACTTATTCGCTGTATCAAGCCACAAGGACATCTATATACGTTTGATTTCCATGAATATCGTGTGTCAGTTGCTCGTGAAGAATTTGAAGCTCACGGTATTGGACAATTTGTGAGTGTGGAAAAACGAGATGTGTGTCAAGATGGTTTTGGAACTGAACTGAACGGCAAGGCCGATGCAGTGTTTCTCGATCTTCCACATCCATGGGAAGCTGTGCCCCATGCTGCTGCTTCTATCAAGGATTTGGGTAAGCTGATCCATTGATAGTTGACATAAGGGCTAGTCAAATGAAAGTGGACTGTGTAGAATGGCTACCACATGAGGTCAGTGCTAATATGTTATGGTTGCATGTGTACAGTAATTTGTGATATTATGAACTTCGAATTAATAGTTTTCACTTTACAAATTGATAAACCTAACATCTCTTCTTGGTATACATAATAAAATTTTACTACAACTAAAGCACACAAAGTCATATGTATGTTGCCATCCAACCCTGTCCACCATCCCTTACTGATCTTTTGATGGCCAGTCACTATCCTTGTTCTGTGTTGTTGTCTATTGAATTTGGCGTTTTTGCGGTTTCTCAAAATATTTTCTCTTCAGTCATAACTTCTGAGAGCTTGTCAGCATCAACTGCTAGTGCCACATAGTGTGTAAGTCGTCATTGTAACGTGAACATCAAGATTTGGATCGTCTGATCTGTTCCATTCATCTGTACAGTAGATTCATCCTTCCAGCATAATTTCAGGCATCCTATGGATCTTGTTTGTTAGGTGTATAGTCCATTAACTATTTTGGAATGTGTTCAAGTTTCATCCTTTCAACATGATGATTTAAATTAAGTATGTAATCCTGAATTATAATATTTAAATTGAATATATTTAATTCATTAATGGGTAGATATGACTTGGCAACACATCTTGGCTGGTGACCAAATAAGAACCATTCAGGTCTGGAAGCAAGTGGTGTGTAAGTCTTGATAAAAAACTAGGCATTTATTATAAAGGTATATTGTTCATTGAAGTAAATATATAGGTAAAGGCAAAGTTGTCCTTGTGCTCAACTAATTAAACACTACGCCATTAAGGCATATGCGGGAGTGGATGTATAGATCCACATTTTCTTGACCTTGTCACTAGTCGGAGGTGAGTTGTCAGCTTCACTCTCCTGCTGCTTTAACTCCAGGGAAAGAGCTCCTGGTATCCATCGGATAGGAGGCTGGTTGGGCCCCAGAGCTAGTCTGGACGCAGTGGAGACTGTACTATACTGAGACTCGAACTCCAACCCCTCAGTTGTCCAGCCCATAGCCAGTCGCTGTACTGACTACGCTATCCTGCAATAAATACACATACATACAATATGTATACTGTGTACTATTTACTGAATCGGAATCACCTGACACAAGTGACAGGACACTGTCATGTAGAAGTATTCCTGTTTGAAATGGAGCTGGCAAATAACCTCTCTGAAAAAAAAAATCATAATAAGTAGGAAATCAGGATTCTGTCATTTGGGTGCCTACTTTATGAACTATCACAAGGCACTATTAAGCAAAATATTGTTCTTGTATAAAGTATAGGACTGCAGGAAGGTTGAATTACAGATGAGGGACCCAAACAAATCAGTGATGGTCATAATTTAAGGTACAGTGACATCCACTCTGTTAGGTTTGTCTTAAATAATGAATTTGCCTTCTTCAGCTATAATGCAGCTGTCTTGAGAGCTTTCCAGAAACCCTTCAGCTACTCAGTAAGAGGAGATGCCCCTTGCTGCACAGATTGAGGCTATTAGTGGACTGGACAGATGAGCATATACATATTACAGTTTCTCTTCAATATCACCCCAGGAAATTGTTGAGCAGCTGATGTGAACAAGCTTAATCATCATGTGCTGGATGACCATAATGTCAAGCTTTTGCTACTATATTTAAATCAGTCAGCCACGTTACTTCATGTATAATCTTTTGTACACATTGCCTGCATAAATTCTGTTCAAAATAAATAAGTGAGGAACAGATTCTGGTAAAGCTAAAAGATAAAGCTATCCCTCTAACAGGCCATGAAGGCCCATAGGGTTGTGAAACGTCGAGGCTCCCACATTTTCTCTAGACAGTCAGCTCACAGGTGGCAGTAAAGTTGTCAACCTAATTCGCCGGCTGCTCTTTTCTCCCTGGAAGATTCCTGGTACTTATTTCTGTTAGAGGCTGAGTTGACCCTAGGCCCATGGTGCGGATGGAGGAATTGGGTAAATTGAAAAAATCCACCTCATTGGGTGTCGAACCTGCGACCTTCTGGCTTATAGCATAGTGCCCCCACAAATTCCCATCAAAAGATGTCCAAGTAAATTTATGAATGTTACAATGTGGTAACATTGTACTTTTGACAATAAGATTTTTGGATGTGGCAGAGTTTACTCTTCTGACTCCATTATCATTACTAATTTCATGTAAACACTATTCCCAATTGTTGGTTTGAAAATGTCTTCCCTACCTACTTTGGCATTGAAGTCTCCTAACAAAATTTTCATATGGTATTTAGGGAATTTATCGAATACATGTTCTAGTTCTAACTGTAAATAAATGAAGATGTGTAGGATTTTCACTGGATCAAAGAGAACTGAACAAAATGCCAAGAACTTACTAAAGAGAAATTAGATGAAATTGGTGTCATACTTGAATATTCTCTTTGAGAATCAGTCAGGAGTGAGTGCACAAGAGACCAGGGTTTTAAAATTGATATTAACCACCATAAAACTTTTGAAATTGAAATAATATGAAATAACAGCAGTTGACTAACACATAATGCTTAAGGTGTCCTCGTGGTGGTGGTTCAAGAATTTATTGGGACAGTATTGAAGAGAAATTAACAAATGTCTGCATAACATACAGCTTTAAAAGCTCATCCTTTTATACACCAATGAGTTAGTATACAAAAAATTCATATATAAGAGTAACTGTATGTATGAAACTGTTTCTGCACGCATTATGAATATGCTGGTGGCACAGTAAGATAATGATTTTGGAGAGTACTTGTAAATAAATGTACCAGCGTCATTCTGCATGACACTTTCCTTTGACTTCACCTTACTAGATGCTGTACTACTACCCATACTGTATCTAGGCCATGGATATAAGTCTCATGATTCTACCCCCTCCACATCTCCCTCCAGTATATTTCCCTATCCCCTCAAGTACTGTAGCCATTCTGATAACACAAATGTTGGCAGCAACGGTCACATGATAAACATTGCTAATGACATGTGCTTTGGATTGGCTGACATACAACTGATTTGGTCTGGAAGGGGATATACAGGCAATGGAGTGGAAGTGCCAAGTAGCATCATCCCCACAATTCATGGGATCTCTTTCCCTGGCCTCAGTGTAGTCTACTATTTGTATGACTTAACTAAGGGTTATGTTTATCAAACATAAATTGCAATATCTTTAGTCTACCTCTGCTCGAATAAATCAGGCTGTAGGTTTCAGCAGGTGTTTGCCGATATCAGCTGTATGAGCAGAATAGTTTGGTTCTGTGCCTAGGAGCACTGTTGGTAGTGTGAGGTCTTATGTAGTTTTGTCATTACTCCGATGACAACCCACTTCTTTGGAACAGTTTGTTGGTCCTGAAAAGGATCGTGGTTGATGAGATGCTTGACCGGTGAGGTAGCGCGGCGCGCGCCAGTAGGGAGAGAGGCTAGTTGCGGTGAGTGGACTGGCCGCAGTGTGGCTGTTGCTGGAGGTTGCTTGGTTGCTGTGCGGCAGGTGAGTTGGAGTTGCGTGGCTAACGCAGGGCAGTCGTAGGCTGCTGGTGAAAGGCTTGTCGTTGAGTGCTGTCGTAGGAGTGATGAGGCAGTGGCTATGCCAGATGCCCAGTGGGTCAGACAGGGACACGACCACCGACGAGTCCAGGCGAGGTGCCCCAGTGAGTCGGGTGTGAGAGAGCTGGAGTGCCGAGGCAGTCGTGCCTGGCGCAGCCTGCTGATGCCTCCAAAGACCAAGCGCTGGCGACGAAGGCTGCCGGCTGATGTTGCTTGGTGTGGCTTGATCGTAGACTGATGATCGACTGATCATTTGGCGTTGGAGCTGCCCCTTTTTATACACTGATTGGTGGGCGGAGTGAAACTTGAAATTGAGGAGGAAGAATTGATTGGCTAGCACGTGTAACGATGTAGATGCGGGTTAGCAGGAGGCGCTGTATAAATGCGAACGTTTGAAGCAATCTGATTGGTTAGCGCGCGTGATGGTGATGTGAAGAGCGAGCGTTGCAGAAATGCGTGATAATGTAGGATGTTCCCACAGTAGTGAGACTGGTTCCCACAGAAGCCCAAACAGAGTGTGCCATGAGAATTTCACAGAATGAAAAAACCAATTGCTTGCTATTCTCTTCTGATGTTTATTATTAAGAGGAGTAGCCTTATGCCATATACTCATACATATGAATAGATAGGCCTATGTGGAATATACAGGGGATGGACGAAAATAGGGAAACACCCAACAAAAAACACATTACCATGACTAATATGGTGTAGGACAACCTCTGGCTTGCAGAACTGCTTGCATTCTCCTTGGAATGGATAAATAGAGGTCCTATATGATTTGCAAGGGAATCTTGTACCATTCTTCCTGAAAAACATGGCAAGTTCTGTTATCGATGATGGAGGTGGATAGCGC